TTCAACTGGGATTTGCTTCCATGCGAGACTTGCGCATGTGCGCGACCCTTATCGATGGCATGCCCAAATGATGACTTGACGTACCATTTTGGGTTACCAGCTTGGATCCGAGATCTGCCATAACGGCCGCAGAGTACTACATTCGAATTAAGTCCCTTACAGGCCAGAGCATTTTCCAGTATCGAACCCAAGGCGGTCAGCACTGATGATCCTGTCACTCTTGTCTTGTTCCTGCAACTTCAACCTTGCAAGATAGTGTCCAGTTAGCCTCAAGTGTCCGAGGTGCTCTGACTACCTTGAGTGCTGACCTAACCCTGCAATTCTGCTAGTTCAAGTAGTAGTTTCTCCCACAGGGACACCTGTCGGAAAACAATTACTTGCAACTGTAATCCCATCTCTGTTGATGTAACATGCCGACTGCAGAAAGACTTTCTGTCGCAGCTAGTGCCCTCCACTAGAGTGTCTGTTGTTGTTTCCTAGTGTTCCTGATTGGTGATAACGTCCTAGTTACCAGTGATTCCTTGCAAAGTTAATAGGTCTATTTGTTGAACCATCCTTACAGGTGTAAGAGATAGTAAATCCACTCTTCTACTAACACTTTGGTCACAGTGTTCGTCTCAGAGCAAATTTCAATCTGTTGAACTTGTTTTCACTATCCTTACCACTGTTCAGGTAAGTATGAGTTGTCACCTACCAGTGTGTCGGTGCTATTTCTATCCGGTTAGTCCTCATACCACTTCACTGGATCAATCTGTTCTGATCCTTTTCCACCAGTTGAGAAAAGACATAGCTCCCACTGACTTCCCCAGTGTAGTCAAAAGCTTTGTTGACGCTGTGAAACATACGTCCATAAGCATTGCCTTACCAGGCGAGAAATTGTAAAACGAACTTATTGTCCCACGTATTCCACTTGAACCGGCACTAGACTATCTATATACCTGCGTACAGAATGCCTCATTCACAAGTTTGCTGTCGCAGAAGAATTTGATCAATCAAATGCTTGATGATGGAGTCATTGCACCTAGCAATCACCTTGAATGCGCCCTTGCTCCTAGTACCTAAGTAGGATGGTACCTGGCGCCCAGCGATTGACTTTAGGAAAGTTAAATGAAAGCGAAAACTAGCCCAGATCGCTTTCCCCCCACTTCCTGTACAGGGTGATCTTTACGTAACATCGGAGATAACAAAGTCTTTTCAACCATGACTTGTTACAAGGGTTTTGGGCAAGTCCCCTCTCACAGACAGCCAAGAGCTAACTGCAATCTCCCCATCCTCAGGTCCATTATCACTTCCTCCATAGGCATTTGATAACGATCCTCCCCCTATCACTTTCACAAGCTCTTGACATATATCTTTAGAGGTCTCATAGGTAATGCACTTATGGAGTACTTAATGATGTAATCGTCATGTCCTATAAGACGTGGATACACTCTTGAAAAGACTTGAAATAGTAACTGGTACACTTGAAGTAGCCAATTAAAAGATCAAACTGTCCTAAATGTCAATTTTTCAGACAAAATTAAGTTTCTTGGCCCATAGTCACTTCTAGAGGGGTTACGACTGACAAGTCAAGTAGCTGCAGTACTATTTTTCCAAACTCCCAAAACTGCTGATGCCGAAAGATGCTTTGTGGGCTTTATCAGGTTTTTATAGATCTTTTTCATTTCCAATTTTTTCCTTCCATAGCTGCTCCGCGAGTTGCTTAAGAAGATGCTCCTTTTGTTTGGACCTTCGTCAATAAAGAGCATTCCCAAACTTAAAAGAAAAGCTAACATCGCTCCAATTTTGAAATTCCAGATTTTTCAAAGCCCTTCTATCTGACTACTGATGATAGTTCTATTGGCATAGGTGCCGTACTAGCTCAGAAGACTGTGGCAATATCCCGCAGTTGCATTTGCTAGCCGAGTCTTACGAAGGCTAAGCGTAATTATACAGTAACTGAGCAAGAAGCTTTAGCAATAGTATGGTCTTTAAAAGCACTTCCTAGGACAATATTTATTCTGTACTCTTTTCATGTCCTTGACAGACCAACGGCCTCCACTGATTACCTTTATTCCATATCAAACAACCTACAGGAAAGGTTAGCCCAGATGAAACTTGAACTATCCAAGATTTCTATCCCACCCACTTTGAACACTTACCTGGCAAAGTCAAATGTAGTTGCATATGCCTTATCGCAACATGTTAGTATAGTAACTGGCAGACCCTCAACGAACAGATCCCATTGTCTGTGTATTCGATCTCTCCAGGAAATCTTATTCTGACTGTGAAGCCACCAGCACCCTTCAGTGAACTTTGTCATGAACCAAGAATTACTGTATCGAACAGCCGATTGGGTATCCTAGCAAGAAAGTATACCAGTTAGTTAATTCCACAGAGTCACTAGTAATGTAGCCTTACAGCTAGTTCACGATGTACAGTGTTGCACACCCTGTATGAATCGTTTTTCAGTAAAACAAGCCAGTTGAATACGTTTGGCCTCGTATGCAACTGATATTTCTGAGTATGTATAAGAATGTAGTGTCCTGCATGCAACATAAAGGTAATGGCTAATTGTCCTAATTCCAATCAAGGTATATCTCAACCCACGAACGAATCCGTGGGATAGAGTTGCGCTAGATTTGTAACAAATTTCCAATGTTCCCCTCAAGGGCTACAAACATCTAGTGTGTTATGGTAACCAATTCACCAGATATTGTGAGTTAGTTCCTATTGCAGATAAGACTTTTTGTGGGCCGAGACAGTAGCTAAATGCATTGAAAGAACGCATATCTAGGAGGCATACCACGCCCTAAGTCCCTAGTAACAGTAATGCGGGTAATTCTTGTAATGGATTTCTTGAACATTTTGTGTACCTTGTACAATATCTCTAATCCACCACCAACAATGTTACACGATCATCCTGCCAGCAATGAGTTAGCAGAACGTACCAATAAGAAAGTACTTGATTGTCTTGAGAGCCACTATCAATCCAAACAGTGAAACTGGGATGAAGTTATACCTGATGTGCAGTGTGCTTATAAATTCTGCGTACAATGTTTCTTAAAGTGACACTCCACATTATGCATTGTATGGTGTAGATAAACGTTTGCCTTATGAGTTGCTTATTCTAAGCCGAAACCAAATTACAACCCTGATGATTTCATAGCAAACTCGTATCCAGCTTAGCTCAAAGTGTTTTTTAGAAGAATACGAGAATACTTCATAAATCACAGCAAATTTACAAGAAGTCCCGCTAACACACGAGCAAAGCACCAAATCAAAGTATGTTCGAGAGTATATGCTGACTAACTTTAACAAAAACGTCTGCAAATGCCTAACTTCGATCAAAAGTTGTTGGTCCTTATCGAGTAGTTGAACATATCACTGGTAATAAGTATAAGGTTAGAGAAATTAGTACTGTGTCAGTATAAAGAATCACATTTAGATCATATGAAGTTTGAGATGTGATGATAATGATGTTCCCACCCGACTAATGTGACGGACTCTGACAGTCCTCCTATCCTGTACTCTCTACCTCTGATACTCCGTCAGACGATCAACCTGAAGCGTCGTTAATTTCCCCTACATACTCGACAGGTATTGAGAAATCCTCAAGTATCATTTGTAACTACCAAATTTCAGATTTGCCTCAAATACAGCATGAGATAGCCAGTGCAACAGAGTTTGATCCTCCAGAGATGACACCCCATTCTGCATATGTCAATCTCACCCTAGCAGAGTTGGGGTTAAATGTAAATAACCTGTATAGATGAATAATTACAGTATCAACTTAACAGTATTCAATAATTTTTTTTTTGTGTTCACGTTCTCTCCGAATTCTGAGAGTTAACAGTCTAGATTTGAGTGCACCGAATCTGTCTTTCTGTTAAACACTTCTTTCTTTGTATATATTCCTTCCTCAGAATCCGTAGATCACATGAATACAGATCGATCGATCAAATTTTTTTTATCACTTCTTTGTGTAATCTCAACGTTGAGTTTCATTCGATGAGTTGTGCTATATTATACCTTGTATTGCATTACAGTTTTATTACAGTTTCAATTATGTAAGCTTCCATTCCAATATTCTACTTATGTATGTTATAATGTTCAATTGTTGTGTACTTTGACATTGTATAGAATCAGCCCAAGCCGTACACCTGCCGTCTCTAGTTTGTATTAGTTGTATGTCGGGACGACATATGTTAGCGTCGCCGAGCTCTCAGTAGTAGTACCAGTTCCTAGTAACCAGTTACCAGTAACCAGTGTACCAGTAGATGACTCACTACCAACCGTCTGTGTGAATCATTGACTGTATTCATATTGCTGCTGACCATAGCAGGATTTCAAACACCTTCACCCGTAGGCACTATGAGTCAGTCAAGATAGGGAGCAGAGAGAGGCAGGTCGGCTGTTGGTGCCTTCCCATACTTCCCGTTATATATTATACGTACTACCAGCCTACGTGAGTATTCATACCCCATCCACTTTATCGAAACCCACATGACATTATGATGTAGTTGGTAGCCAGTATGATCCTGGGTGAATGTGTTATGATGTACTTGGTAGCCAGTATGATCCTGGGTGAATGTGTTATGATGTACTTGGTAGCCAGTATGACGTGACTTACACAGTTCGTCGTCTACATTGGTACTATTTTATCTGAATTCTGAATTCTAAGCAGTTTTATTGGTGATTTTTCCTTAGATATATTCCCAGTGCAAAAGTTTATGCCAGAATTATAGTAGGTAAGTGACCGAGTTTATTTTATTTCTTTATTTAGAGATGCCTGTAGTAAAGAGACAAATGTTATACGGAAACTTCTAATGACGCTGTTTCGCCCGTACATTGTGTTTTTAATAATCACAGCTACTGTGTAGGTGAAACGTCGTCAATAAATGTATTCGTTACTGAGGTCTTAATGACTCCACGTGCAGTCAATAGGCCCAGATATGTGGCAGCAGAGACAAGTTTCAGGTACGTATTCGTAAAAAAAAGAAAAGAAAAAAGAAACTTACCTTGTGGGTTGCCTACTACAGGAGGAAGACCCAAGTCTGAGGAGACGAGACCGATCTTGGTGGTGACACCGTTACTCTGGGCCTCCACTCTCACAGTCACGACCACACACACACATATACACCACCAAAGTCTGAAAGCAAAGGGTACGTATAATACTCACTACCCTCTTTTTTTTTTTTTATTTTTTTTTAATATATAACAAGCCAAGTGATCTATTATATAAGTTAAATAAGTGGGTGGTGAGTTGCATCATTGTTATTACAGTGGAACTTCAAATATCGAACTTTCTTCGGTCCAGAAGGCTGTTCAAGTGTCGCTACCGAACGAATTTATTCCCATCAGGAATAATGTAAATTAGATTAGTCCATTTCAGACCCTCAAAAATACACTTATAAAAGCACTTACAAAAATACACTTACATAATTGGTTGAGTTGGGAGCAGTTCGATTTTTGAGGTTCCACTGTATTAATCTTCTTACCACATCAGCTGTTTCCCTCCCAGATGGTGTGACTCACAGATGTAAATATGTTCACCATCATTCGTTCAAATTCTGCCTGACGAGGAGTGCTTTCCACCTCTTGAACCACTCAACCCATTCATACATGTTAGCCTTGCTCTTCCTCCGTACTCTAGTATAATCCCTCCTCTCAAACTTCTCTTTGGGAACCCTCCCCAAACAAACACACGGGGGACAACACAAGCAAAAAAAACTCTCTTCGATTTTATGTTCGTGTCCACCCTCCCCCTTTTCAAAAGTGCAATGCCCCAAAAAGGGGCCCCAAATCCCTCATTTTATGATAGTGGCTTTTTTTGTCCCTTATCAAATATATCGAATTTAACATTTTTAAAAACAAACCAAGGAAAAAAAACCCCTTTAAATCCTTAAGTTTTAAAAAATTTAAATTTGGGCCTAAATCCGGCAAAAACCCCCCCAATGTTGCTAATAAATTTTAAAGAGTAAAATTTAAAAAATAAATTTTCATCCCCCCCGAGCGTAACTATACCAAACACTTTAATATCCAAAAAAACCCAACTTTTAAACCCTACTTCCGTTTCAAAACCCCCTTTTTTAAAATTCTTTCTAACCGGGAAGGGGGGTCATAGAACCATTTAAAATTTTATCAAGAAACCCCAAAAATCCAAATCAGTTTAAGGTATTAATATGATTTAATCCCTGTACTATTACCCTGAAAAATTGAGCGGCTAAAGTCCTTTCGATGCCAATTACTTTAATTTTTTAACAAGCCCTTAAAAACCTACATTTTCCCCGACACAAATCAAGACAGAAAGGGTTCACAATACAAAAATTTTTGGTGACCCTACAGATTTAAACAATATAGGCCAACCCCCCAAAATTACATTCTACCCAAAAAATTTTCGAAAACTTTTGCACAGGAGCCCTATATTCATTTATAACGTACAAAACATACTCACCCCCTCCCAAATTTTGGGGAATTCGGGAAAAATAAAAGCACTAATAAAGCAATTATAAAAATGGGGAGACCTGCTTTACAAAGCATTGGAAAAAAAAGAATATCCGCTAGGAATTTTTATTGACCTAAAAAAAGCGTTTGCCCACAGTAGACCCCCGGGCACCCCTACCCCACAAATTTGGACCATTAGGGAAATAAAGGCCATGCGCGCATATTTTAAATCCTACCTTTCCCAATGGGTTTTTTCAGTATCCCCAACCATTAAAGACACACCCTCATCAATAGGGCCATTGATATTGGATTCCCCCGGGGGAAAGTGCCCTTTTGGACCCCTGCTTTTCCCTCATTTACTAAATTAAATTCTTCCAAACATCCCCCAACACCTAAAAACCCTTTCTTTGCTGACGACACAAACTTATGTCATTTTCCCCCCCCAAATTTTCCCACCCCCCCAAAACCATTGTTAACGAAAGGACCCTCCCTCAAAATATCGACTTGGATACACCAAAAAACTTAAAATTAACACTGGAAAAATTTAACTATATTATTTTTGGTACGGGAGCGGGTGTTGCGCAAATTTAACTTTAAAAATAGAAAACACTCTAATTGCTAAAAACTTTAAGAGAGCAAATTCCGGGGGGGGCCCAAATACCCGAAAACAACCTAAATTTCAGCACCCAAAAAACACACAACAAAAAAAGTATCCAAACGGTTGGGGTACCGAAAACTCCCCTTTTTATCAACTATACCTTCATTTATAAACCAAAACCTCACCTATGCTTTTTGAACTTGGGGTTAAAACTGCAGAAACACATTTTAAACCCAAATAAAAACCCCAAAAAAACTGCAGTAAGAAAAATTCACAAAAACCCCCATCCCTGGAAAACACCCCCCCCCCTTTTCCCAATGATTTAAACTTACTCCCTATTCAGAACTTTCCCATTTTACTACTGGGGCAACCTTATCTACAGGCCCTTTAAATTTCCCAATATTAACCTTAAACCAAAACGCTTTTTGAAGTTGTGACGGACCCACGACAAAAACACCAAACACAAACATTTTATGAATTCCCTGTCCGACTAAACCTTTACAAAAATTAAATGCTTTTCAAAGGACCTAAAATCTGGAACACCCTGCCTGAAAACTCTAGAACTGCGACAATTTCATCCCCTTTTTCAAAAATTTCAGTTAAAAACATTTTATCTCATGATCCCCCCCCGACAACAACTACATGAAAAAAAAACCTGGTGGTTCACAATTACACTCCCCCACTGACTAAAAAACCCAAAATATTAATTTTAAATTTTTAAAATAATAACCCTAACTAGTCATAATTTGCCTAGTTACTCAAAAAAAAGCCCACTTTTTGGTATTGTGTAAAAAAAAAAAGGCTTTAAAACATTGCTAACTAAAAATTTATTTTAAATCCTTACCCCTTTTAAAAACTTTTAATCTGTAAGGACTTAATGTTAAGAATTAATCTTAAGTCGGGCTGGGAAATGCCTACCCATCCTAGGTGTCCGATGGCCCCCTCTGTAATTACTATTTTATAAAATGTAAACCACACAATCCCAAAACCCTGTAAACACCCCTTTGGGTAACCCTTATAGGGGAAAAATAAAATTTTGAATTGAACTGAATTGTGAAATTTGAAATACTTTTTGCTCGCTCTCTACAAAAAATTTTTTCCCAAAAATATTTTGTCCCTATTTTTTTTGGGGTGTGTGTTTCAAAAATTTAAAAATTTGGCCTCCAAAACCATGATATTTTTAAAGTAGGGAGAAAAGGCGTTAGTTATTAATCAACGGGAAAATGCTCATGCATGCTTTCTTTTTTTGGGCCCTTAAAAATACTTCTTTAAATTTTTAAAAACCCACAGTTTGTATATACCTGGATTTTTACCCGGGGGGGATTTCCGGGGGGTCAACGCCCCCGCGGCCCGGTCGTGGACCAGGCCTCCGGTGGATCAGACCCTGATAAACCCGGGGCCTTTTGCTGGGGCTGCAAGAAAACCAAACCGAAACAGCCAAAGCCCCGGGGTGATCGGGAAGGCCCTTTGGGGTGCTTGCCCCAGTGCCACCTTAAGACCCCAAGGGTCTTTTAAAAATTCCCCCTTACGTGTTGGGAAAGGCAGTTAAACCCATTTCTGGGGCCCCTGACCCCCTTATTGTATGATCCTTAACTTGTTTAAGGGGCCCCCCCCTGCTTTTCTTTGGGGGGGAGGGTGCATCGTTTTCCCCAATTTTTTGGAGGGATTGAGTGTTTTTCCCGGGTCCCAAGTTCGGTACTAGTCCCCCCGGAAATTTTCCCCCAGGTGTATATAATCATGTATCTCTCCCCCCGGGCGTTCCGGGGAAAAACAGGTTTAAAACCTCAAGCGTTCCCAGAAATTTGAGGGGGTTTTATCCCCTTTTAGGGCGCCCCGTAAAAGTTCTTGTACTTTTTTCTAGGTCGGCAATCCCACCTGCCTTGAAAGGTGGGGTTTAGTGTGCACCTATTCCAGCTAGATAGAACAAGTGCCCCGGAAGAGTGTCATCATGGGTTTTGGCCCCCCTAGTTTTAAAGGTTTTTTTCCATTTTTTTTCCAAAATCCTTGTAAATTTTTTTTCCCCTTAAAACCCCCCAAGATTCTTTGCCCTTGGGTTTTTCCCCCCCCCCCCCAAACCCCCCCCCCCCCCCCCCTTTTCCCCCCCCCCCCCCCTTTTTTTCCCCCCCCCCCCCATTTTTTGGGGGGAATTTGTTTTGTCCCGTTGAGATTTTTTTTTTCCTCATGTTTACCAATCTGGTAAAAAAAATTTAAACCCGTTAAAACTTATTTTTTTTGGGAAGAAAATGAAAGTTTTGGGTTTGAGGGTCCGCCGGGACCTTGCATTTCCTGCAAGGGAAGACCTGCCCATCCCAGATTGGGGGGTCATCTGAAAAGGGGAAAACACTGGTGCTGTGGTGACCCCTTTGGGCTATGTCGGATTGAGGATGGGGAAAAAGAGGGGGAAGCGGGGTACTGGGCCTTGTGGAACAGAGATTTCCCCGGGGCTGCTGGGAAACTTTATTTGTTGCGATACTTGTGTTTCGTTAGTGGGGAAAAATTATAGATCCATCGACCGACTTTTCCTGATTTTCCCCTTTACCCCCTTTTTTGTGCGAATTTTAGCCATGGCAACTTGCCCAAAGGGTTTTTTTGGAAAAGCCCTGTATATATTACATTGCTTCCCTTTTTTGTCTTTTTTTTTCATTTGGGAAACCTTGTCGTAGTGATCCAATAGTTGGGGACAGACGGGAGCAACCTTTTTCTAAACCCATTTTGCCCGGGGTTTTGGTGAAAATGAGGGGTTTCCCTAGTTGGGGGGGTGATTTTGCTTCTTTAGGCCCCCTTTCAAGTTTTTATGTTTTATGGGATGTTAGTGCTTTTGGGCCCCTTTTTATTCTTTAGCTGTTGCTTACTGCCCCCTTTGTGGGGGTGGGGGGGATGTCTGTTTTTTTGAAACGGTGGGACGACCCCCGTGTCCATCCCTCCCTTCTCCATAGGAGGGGAAAGGGGGGCTCGTGTTGGGGCTTCTTCAGTTTTTTGTAAAAACAGATTTTCCTTGATTTGGGCCCTGGGGCAGAGTGATGGGCATGTCATTTATCGCCTGTTCGAAGTTTTGGGTCGGGATAATTTTTTCGGATAAGCATGTTTTTTAATCAAATTTTGTGGCC